TCAGCACAAAAACTATGACATGTGTTTCCATGACCAAATAGCTGCATACAAGCCTTACATCTCCAAGCACAGTAGCAAGCTTTGGATGAAGTGGTGTAAAGCACGCCACCACTGGACCCAGGAGCAGTGAAAACTTGTTCTGTAGAATGATGAATCACGCTTCTCTATCTGTCGGTCTGATGAATGAGTCTGGGTTTGGTGAATGCCAGGAGAATGTTACCTGCCTGACTGCATTGTGCCAACTGTAAAGTTTGGTGGAGGAGGGATAATGCTATGGGGCTGTTTTTCAGGGGCTGGCCTAGACCCCTTAGTTCCAGCAAAGGGAAATCTTAATGCTTCAGCATAACAAGACATTTTGGACAACTCTATGCTTCCAACTTTGTGTGAACAGTTTGGGAAAGAACCTTTTCTGCTCCAGCATGACTGAGCCCCAGTGCACAAAGCAAGTTCCATAAAGACATAGCTGGGTGAGTTTGGTGTGGAAGAACTTGACTGGCCCTCACAGAACCCTGACCTCAACCCCATCGAACACCTTTGGGATGAACTTGTGAACCAGGACCTCTCGCCCAACATCTCTGTCTAACCTCACAAAGGCTCTTCTGGATGAATGGCCAAAAATTCCCACAGACACACTCCAAAATCTTGTAGAAAGCTTCCCAGAAGAGTGGAAGCTGTTATAGCTGCAAACGGGGGCCAACTCCATATTTGGGCCTATGGATTTAGAATGGGATGTCATAAAAGCTCCTGTAGGTGTAATGCGTAGGTGTCCCATTACTTTTGTCCATATAGTTATATAGTTAAATTTCAAAATGAAAAACCTCATAACAGCATGATTTATAATCACATCAATTATATCAGCATGAATGATTAGCTTCACTATTATAAATTATTATGACTCATTTCCTTCTTGAATTTGCCCCAATCAGCATAATTAAATAAGCTTTATTTATGGTACTTTGTAAATAAAAAGTGCCTGCTGTCATTTTGAGGCTTGCGCCAGCTTAATCTAAATTCATTCTTCAAAGTGACTTCATGTATTGTTTGATACATTATTATGTGTAAAGTAAGTAAGAGCTTAGTCAGCAGCTTCTGAGGCATATAGAAAGATAAAACAAAAGCTTCTTTTGTATTCTCTCAAGTAAGACATTGTCCACATTGCCTTGTTTTTAATTTTCTCATCACTCCAGGCCTTATTCATTGATTATTCTTGCCCTCTGCTACATCTTTAATTACTATGTCATCTGTCCATGCACTCTTTGTCAATCAGTTTGCTGAGTCAACACAGGGACTCATCAATAACCAATTCAACATTCATGTAGAGTCATTGTGCCTTCTGTGACCTTTTTTGGCCGTTTTGAGCCAGTGCTGGATTCTGAACACTTATATGAATACTAATACTGGATTTACAGCACAGAGATATGTGGCTGATGATGAAAAGAAACCATTATTTTTGGTTGTTAAATGTTGGATGGTGTTGTCTTTAGCTACAAGGTGAAGGTGAGTTTAGCTACAGGGTAAGTTGTTCAAGGGCCTCCCTTAGGTTGATTTGGCTGACCACAGTGACTAAATTCAGGTGATAACAGTGACAATGTTTTGTTTTTTGTTGTTTTTTTATGGTGATACCATTATTTAGACACAATAAATAAGCCCACCAGTTCTGTCAGGTCACTCATTAGTGTTATGAGCTCTCTACAATCAACAGTAGAGCTTAAAAGGTCTGTCACTGTCCACACACAAGCTCTACCTGTGTGTGTGTCTGCATAGAGCATTCAACCAAATTAGTTCAAACTGTGGTCCTACCGTAAAAAAAAGACAAAAACAACTAATTATTAAAAATTTGGATATTTACAAGGACTCTGTTATGATCTATTTAAATCCAAAGCATTAATTGACATAGTACAAAGCTAAATATACACAAAATCATTGTTTATAGGGTACTTTCTGTTGGGAGATATCTGACCCGAACTCTAACCCCTACATTTCAACTTGTATAAATCATTTTTTTAAGATCTTTTTGATGTCTTTTAGATTGAAGTTGAAAGATTTTGATTAATCAAATGAATTTAATTAGTTTAATTTTCAATTAAAAAACATTTAAAAAATCAGTTTTCATGTCCCTACTGAAACAGTTTTAGTCTGTAGGCGGGGCCTTTTTAGCCATGCCCATGTATTTCAAAGCAGGAAGTGGGACTGCATCCCTGTACCTCATGGCCACATTATGAGCAGTTAGATCTCATTGTTTTGAAGTAAATGTGTCCCAATGTCTGTGTGGAACATTATGAATTGTCACTACAGGAACAAATATTTTCTGTAATTAATGTAATCACTTCTGTAATCAAAGCTGTGTTTGCTAGTCATGCACTGGCTGGTTCTGCTCAAGATTACCTACAATTGTCACTGATGAAACAGTCAATCCTAAAACAGTCACTACTGAAACAGTCACTGCCAAAACATTTGCTAAAGTTTCAGTAGTGTTATAATGTTTTGGTAGTGACAAAGTGGAAAGTTCATTCATTTATGTTAATACAATAAACATAATTAAGGTATAAAGTCACTCAAAGCAAAAGGATTTTAATCTCAATCCAAGTTGGTTTAAAGTCTGAAATGTGTTTTCAACTCTGACCTTGAATTAGTTCAGTAGAATGATCCATATATATGTTTATTATTAAATAATTCTGAATGTGTGTTTTGAGGGAGAATACATTCCTGTAATCGTGGGATATTTCTATGCCTTTCTGTATGAGTACGTGTAAATGCTGATGTGCTCCACCCAACCCAACTCTGACCTTAACCTCAGCAACCTAAAGATCATCTTCTACTTTTTCAAATAAAAATGTTAGTAGTATACATACATGTATACAGATGGGTGAAAATGAAAGGAAATGCCTGAATAAACATGTGCAGATGCTTCCAGACAGGTTTACTGATGCAATTAAGCAATTAACATCATAGCATGGTCTGTGCCATGTATAAAAATGCCCAGTTAATCTTGATTTTGGTTCAAGATGGCAAAAGGAAAAGACCTAAGTGACTCTGTAAGAAGGTTCATTATAAGGACATTGACAGTAGGAGCTTCAGGACTGCTTAACTGGCTCACGTTTCAATAGGAACAGTGACCAAAATGACATCTGCCTTTAGATCTATAGGAAAGACGCAAACAGGGTTGGAAACTGAGGTCAAAAGAGATACGTAAGAGCAGCTGTTCGTACAGTCACTGAGACTGTCAGCGCAGGACGTGATCAGACTGTGTCAGCAAGAACAGTCCGTTCACAACTACACAGAGAGGGAGATTATAGTAGAACCGCAGTGCATAAACTTCTCATGACAAAGACACGTGCATATTTGGGAGCTCCACTCCACCCCACACCTAAAGGAAAGATATGAATGCTTGACCCCTACAGTGAGGGTCTGGTGGCTCTGTTATTCTCTGGGGGGCATTTTGCAGGCCCACAGAAAGAAGAGTTAGTACCAATCAATACGAAGTTATTCTGACTGATCACCTTTCTCCTATGATGAAACACTTCTATCCTCATGAGGGTGGTCACTTAGGATGACACTGGCCCCATTCATAGGGAGCAACAGAGCACAGGATGGTGTGATGAGTATGATGGCATGATATAAATCACACGCCACAGCCTTCGATCATGACCCAGTTGAACATCTATAGGTTTTGGGATGATGTGTTAGGCAACACTCTCCACCACAATCAACAAAACACCAACTGAGATAAGAAGAATGGTGTTCTGTCCATCTAGTCATTCCAAGGTGCATTGAGGCTGTTCTGGTGGGCTAGGACTTCACTGAGATGCTTGATTGTTTTTCTGTGTAATTTGTCAGCTGTCTGTATAGAAAAGCATTTTCTTGTAGAGAGCAGCCATGTTTTTACATCAATCTGGGGACATTTAGCCCCCACAAAGAGCTAAACACACACACAAAATGTACCTGTGCCCTAGTTATAGGCAGAGGTTTGAAATTCCTCAGGTATGAGTTTATTCAGAACCTCTATACTGGTATGCTGCAGGTAACTTGACATGCAAACAGTGCAAACCACACTACTTGTAGTCTCTTTAACTAGGTTGTGAAGTCTTAGCCTTAGCCCAGAGGTCTCCAACCCTCCTGGAGCTCCTGGAGAGCTACCTTCCTGCAGAGTTTAACATGCTGCCCCTCTCCTTAACTATCACTAATACATCTAATCCAGCCAGTCAGGAACTTCTGAAGAAGTGAATGAGCTGGAGCAGGTGTAGCAGTTTGTAGCTGGAACTAGACACTGCAGGACCAGGGTTAGCCTAACAGGGACCCCAGAGCAATAAGGTCTGGATAAAGAGCCACCTGACTCAGTCAGCTAAAGAAATTCTTAGACAAAGCTGGAATTGGCTTCTAATTTGAATTGTCCAGTCCACCTTGAATGGTGGAGCAATTGCATTCGAAGTACAGTTGCCAGAATGTAACGGCTGCTCCACTTAAGGTGCAACAGAAAATTCTTTAAAAAATCTGCCAAATAAAAAGGCAACTTAAGCCTTAAGCCAACATTTTACACCGTTTTTTGCCAGAGAACAATATAGACACAGGCTTATATATATATATATATATATATATATATATATATATATATCTATATATATATATATTTATATATATATATAGCCTGTGTCTATATTATATATATATATATATATATATATATATATAATGTATGTGTGTGTGTGTGTGTGTGTGTGTGTGTCATTTTTCTGTTGCTGAACTTCATTACAAAATATTCTGTTTTATTCCCACACACTGCCTCAGATTAGTGTCGATGAAGGTATCATGGCGAAGGTGGTAATGAGGATGATGATTAATAAGGATGAGGAAGGTTATATTGCTGACTGATGAAACCCTGAGGACCAGACCCCCAGCACCACCACCCCCCACCCTGCCGTGCGCGCTCACATCAGGAACCTGCGGGGCGCGCGCGCACCCGCTGAAGCGGCGGAGAGCGAGCATCAGCAGCAGCCGCGTGCATGTCCGCGAGAAGCCGGGCGACCAGGTTCCAGAGAGGGGGGTCAGCGTCAGAGGGCGAAGATGAGCAGCGCTGGAAAGAGGAGAACGGCGGTGTGGACGCACATTACATGAAGAGCGGGAAAACTGAGCGAGACACGGCGCGAGGCTACCGGTACAACATGTGAGTACACGGACTGAACGCTGCTCAACTTCCAGAAACCAGGAATAAACACAGTGTTAACTGTATTTGTGCTCAACGGGCACTTTAGCGCTCTTTAATATGCGCTCCTGTCTGCGCTGTGGGGAGTTTAAGCGACAATAACCAACTACTCTGACTTTTAATAGACTCTGGTCAGCCTTTGAATCTCACTGTGTCACACTGAAGATGACCAGCACGCTGTCTGTGGGTCATTTAAGATGGACGGGGCCGTTAACGTTGTGTGAATAAGTGTAGTTTAATGTTTTGTGTTGAAGACACGGCTGTTAAAGTGGCTACAAGGTGTCTTGGTCGTTTAATTGAAAAATAAGGCAGCTAAAGCCCTGCCCTGCTGGGTGAAGACCTTACAGCGCCATCCAGTGGACATTTACATTTGAGTGGCACTTCTGACCAGTCTGAAGTCAGATAAACGCTTCAGACGTTAAGGAGCTCTAAAATGAAGCCAGTAGGCTGTTACTGCTGCTGTTGGTGATTATGCTGAAGAGGAGCTTTGGCTGGAGTGAATGAATGAGCCAGAATAAAAGAAACAGAGAGGAGGTTGATGAATAGGGAGGTGCTGATGTGGGAATTGTGAGCCGATGCCAATATTTAACATTTTTCATGTGCATATCTTCCATTGCCAATATGTAAACATGGATAAAATGGAGAAATCAGGACTAATCCTACCTGGATTAGCATCACAGAGGAATGTAACGTTCTGTAGGGTTGCAAATGTACGGAGCCCTGCTGGTGACATCCTGTATAAATAAAAATAACGCTGAATTATCGCGTGGGAACGAGATAACTAAGTCATGGCTATGACTTGGTAAGGCCTGGGAACGAGATCATGACTTAAGATGTGGTCAAGGCTTAATTATCTCAATCCCATGCCTTACTAAGCCATGGCCACACATTAGGATCTCGTTCCCATGTCAAGGCCACGACTTAATTATCTAATTCCCACACCTTACTATATCTTAGCCATGCAATATTTTTTTTTATACAGGATGTCACCAGCAGGGCTCCGTACAAATGCATTAAAATGAGTAAAATGCAGATTTTTTAGCAGTCCATCATCACCTAAACATCCTGCTCTTCCAGTATGTAGTATATAATATATACATCTTTAAAACTGTGTTTGAAATACTGGCCTAATCTAAACATCAGCCCTTAATACAGAGACTGGAATTCCCCAGAGGCGGGGCAAGATGAGGCCAAGTCGACAAGGCATGTTTAAAAAAAGCACTGAAACGGGTGGAAGGTATTCATGTAATCTGACGAAAGTAAGCTGTTACTAAATCGGAAGGTGTGTTGTAGTTTAATCGCAATAGTGTGCAAATGTGACTCCAGTGCAAATCTCGTAGGGTCCAGACTCATAACGGTATTGCTGCGTGACCGTGCCAGGTGGATTACAGCATCACATCAGAAAAGCATCAGACACGATACACTGCTGTGCAAATGAACAGGCCTACATTTGTCATTAATCACCATGTGCCTTTTCAGTGAATGACAGTGGTGTCCTAATACAAGTTAGCTTCATCCATGCAGACCATTACTGTTTTTTACTTTAGCATACGAGTTTTTGTGGAGAAAAGGCATCACTGGATCTAATCAAGGTTTAGTTAAATGAAATAAGTCAGACTGAAGTGTTTTGGAAAAAGCAGTATTACTGAAATGTTCAATTTGGACGTAAGCAAAAGCTGAAGCTTTTGAAAACTGCCAGAGGTCGTGTGACTGCTGTAACAGAAAAACAGTATTTAATTGGTTTTTGACTTAAAGTTAATAACTTGTTTTGGTATTTCATTTCAATGAAAGCAGGTTTAAAGTTCCATAATTCTTTATGAAGCAGTTTAATGACTTTCTGACATCCCATTAGGCGTGGGTGATATGAGCTCAAATGTAAATTACCGTATTTTCTGCTGTTTTTAAAACCACTTTAAGGCGAATAAATTATGCAAAGTTCCTTCTTAGCTTTAGTTTGACCCTGAAAGCTTTTCTAAATTGTGTGAATGTAACACACAGTTTACATTTTTGGGTCTAGTTTTTAGTTGTTGTCTCCTACAGTTTCTCCTCCTGTGCATTTTTTTTCTCTCCTCACTCATCTTCAGTTCAATATTGCACTCACTGGGTCTCGTAAAATGATATTTTGGCACTAACAAAGGCAGCTCGCTATTCCACATTTGCTAAATATCACTCTTCCCCACCTGTTGGATGGTGTTTTACACAATTACACTGTCATAGTTATTACATAACAGCCTGATCCCAAATTTTAGAACTGATCGCAGTTATTTCCCACAATTGATTTTCACAATCATGTGTCACAAAAACAGAAAAAGAAGTGGGTCCATTTTCGTCAAAGCAGAAAATGCATTTACTGCGTTTTCAGCAGTGGTGACAGGCTAGACTCCACTCCACCCCACTGTGAAAAATAAATAAATAAATAGTTTTGACTTGGTGCTATAACTCCTTTAGGGGGCAGCAGTGAGTAATAAGTGTTTGGTTGAGGTCAAACTTCAAGCTGTTTCTGTCCTCAGTTCAGAACTACTAAGGATCAGCAGCTAAGAAACAAGATAACTAAGCTATTGTACTTTAATAGTTCTGCACATTGAACGATAATAGTTCAATCAAATTGTTAAGGGTTATTATATAACAATAATAATAACAGTATATGTTATGATGATTAATCGTAAAAATGTCATCCAGTAGTGCCACTCACCACTCAGCAGTTCAGTTACCCCTTCTTGTCCTAAATGTTCTTTTTTTGAGTTTATATAAATTATATGAGTTATTGAAGCTTATATTCAGATAGTCTTGGTGACGGGGCTGTGGTTCAGTGTTTTTGGACTTATCAAGGTATCCACATTATGGAAAAAATTATATAAATAAAATGGGACAACATCATACTGATATTCTCTTCTAAATGGCTGTATCTTCTGTTCCTACAGTCTATTCTAGTAATCTTGTATTTTTAGCAAAAGTTTTTGCACTCTGGCCAAATTATATATTCTCTTGATATTTTAAGTGAAAAGAAGTAAACACAGGCTTGTACAACAACACAGTGATCCAAACCATACCTCAAAAAATACAGTCTGGAGCTTTTACAGTGGCCATGATAGATCCTTGACATTACTGACAATCTATGGGTAGATCTTAAACATGCTGTAATTCTGCAACAATGGCAGAATTAGAATGTGTTCTTTTTTTTAAGGATAACGGGTGGGAATTCCTTAAACAAGAACAGAAAGAGTCCTAGCTGATTTAAAAAAAAGATTTTGATAGCAAAAGCCAAAGGGGTGTTACTAAGTACTGACTTAGTAGGGTGTCCAAACTTTTGCAAATGTCACCATTACTGTTGTATTTCTTCTATTTTTAATTTTTAGGGTAATCAAACAAAGTAACTGCGCATTAACTTCAAAAGTCAAGCAAATGTGCCAGGGGTGTCCAATCTTTTGCATGCAGCTGTACGTATCTGAGAGTCATACTACCCCACACAACACATTTACATCTGCAGTCATCAGCTGACGAGTAGCAAAGCTAAAACAAGCCTGACCGGACAGCCACTTTAGCTTTGAGCCTGCATGTGATGAACATATGCAGGCAACAGAGACGATGTAATACATCAAAACGACCTTTCGCATTAGCGCTACAGCTCATTTACTGCCTGTAACGTGTGCGTGCTGTCCTGACAGATATTGAAATAGATTTTTGTGCTGTCCGACATTATATTCTTCATGAGTGAATGGACGTGCGGCCAGCATGATGATGGATTCTGCAGCGCAGATGCCTTTTTGTGTGTGTTTGTGTTGCGTGGCTTATGAAATAAAATGCAGCCAAATGGTCACACAAAGCTACATCAGCTCAAAAGACTGGCAATCAATTTCTTTTACCAAATGGAATGTTACGGTGAATAATGAGCAGCATAATTCATGTTTCCAGTGATGAAAGTAGTGTTTTTTTAATAAGAGGGAAATAATAGCCTTTCAATTCTGGTTCTCCTGCCAGTCTTTCTCCCCATGGTTCCAACCACAGTGCTGAGATCAAAAGCTTTCTTTTCCAAGATCATTGTCACTTTGCTTGTCTATTAATTATTTATTTAGCTAATATAAAATGTTAAAGCTAATAAAAATGGAGCTGTAGTACAGTAAGAAAATCTTCCCGCATGAATGCTGTCTGAGAGCATAATGACCAAGAGATCCCATTTATATGGTTAATGTGGATCCAAAGGTGTATGATTAGCTTATTCCTCTCCAGATATTAATGTAAATGTCCTAATTCCATCCATCATCTAAACCGCTTATCCTTCTGGGTCGCGGTGGGGTGCTGGAGCCTATCCCAGCTGTCATTGGGCGGAAGGCAGGATACACCCTGGACAGGTCGCCAGTCCATCGCAGATGTCCTAATTCCACAAAAAAAAAAAAATCAAATTAACATAATTTTCCTCTGACTACAAATGTAGTCAGTCAACATGTTTGGTGTCTGAGATTTGCTTCTTTATGTTAGCAATGGAGCTATAAGGCTAGTGTAGCTAACAGGTAATAGAAGCATATATCTTACCAGTTAGCATTGCAGAAACTGTGTGCCTAAACACTCAAACAGCACTGAGTTTTCAGTAATCTCAAACAGACTCACTTATGTGGTTCCTGACACTATCTGACATACTGGCTAACTAAAACCCCCTTGCAAGCTAACGTTAGCGAACCTAACTTTACTTCAGGTTACCGAGCTAAAGAATCAACTAACGTTAGGTTAATGTTTAACACAGTTTATTTTAAGCTGAGGTAAAACTGAGTCCTGTTTCATGATTGTGAGTCTTTCTTACTGTTTACTGTTACCTCAAATGCTAACAAACATAGCTAACCTACCTCACTAGCATTAGCTGACTTGGCTTACCATGCTAAGGTTAACATTATGTAGTTTACACGATAACTTGAGGTTAAGAAAAAAAAACTTTTGCATGTTACCACGCTTGATACCACGGTTGCATG